GATCTTGGCTCACTGCAACCTCTGCTTCCTGGGTTCAAGCAATTCTAGTTCTGCAGCCTCTCGAGTAGCTGGGATTACAAGCACCTACCTCCACGTCTGGCTAATGTTTGTATTTTTTTTTGTAGAGACAGGGTTTCATCATGTTGGCCAGGCTGGTCTCAAACTCCTGATCTGCCCACTTTGAACTCTCAAAGTGCTCCAGCACTAATGTTTCTATTTTTTTTTTTTTTTTTTTTGTAGAGACGGGGTTTCACCATGTTGGCCAGGATGGTCTCAAATTCCTGACCTCAAGTGATCTGCCCTCCTTGGCCTCTCAAAGTGCTGGGATTACAGGCCTGAGCCACTGCGCCTGGCCTGATTTACTCTCGGATCCAATTCTCCCTTCATTTTAAAAGGACAGTTTCTGGGCTCCTAACTTCTGACTCAGCTTTTCCTTGGCCCACATACCCTCAGCTTTCAGAAAGGATTTTGGAGTTCTTTGTGTTCTCTGACTTGGTTTCCCTTCAGGCCTAAAGCCCCTTCCTAATTCTCTGGCATCTGGGATTCAGTTGTTCTAAGTAGAATTTTTGATGCTGCAAAAGAAATGGCACTTGAATATAAAGTTCCTCAGCAAGGCAATTTACTTCTGTAGAAGGGTGCGGCTCACAGATGGAACAATGGCAAGCACACACCTGGACAAGGAGGGGAAGGGGTACTTACGCCTGGTGGGGTTGGCCCTACTGCTGTGTTGTTCCCCTCTTGGCTAGGGTTAGACCACACAAGCTAGACTAATCCCCACTGGCTATTTTAAAGGGAGCAGGGGTCCAAGCTGGAGTGGCAGGGTGGGTGATTTGGAAGGAAGGACAGTTATGGGTGGGTCAGAGCAGATAGCCCGGGTGACCTAGGTCAAGAAGGTGACTGGAGCAGGTGACCAGGATGAGTCAGGACAGAGCTGGGGGCTGGGGGAACAGATGTGAAATACTGATTAGAACTGGTGGAGAAGGTTGTTTACTGGAACTCCAAGGAAGTTCACTTTAAAATAGAGAATTAAAGAATAATAAGAGAGCTGAAGATACTGACATACTGATTCTTTGAAGAGAAACATGGGGTTCACTATATCTAACACAGTTTCACTTCAAACTAAGAACAGGGTTTCTACCTTGGGGTTTTCCTGGTGGCACGGGGTCCCCAAAGTTGACATCATCCCCCCACCTCCTGTACCTTCTACCCTTAGGCAAGAAGAAGACTCCATCATCCCCATCTCTGGGCAGCCTGCAGCAGCGTGACGGGTCAAAGGCTGAGGTTGGAGACCAGGTCCTGGTCGCGGGCCAGAAGCAGGGGATTGTGCGCTTTTATGGGAAGACAGACTTTGCCCCAGGTGAGGCTGGGGACTCTGGGCCGGGGGGCAGGCAAGGCCTTGAGAAATCCTGACACCTTCACGCTGCAGGTTATTGGTATGGCATTGAGCTGGACCAGCCCACGGGCAAGCATGATGGCTCTGTGTTCGGCGTCCGGTACTTCACTTGCCCCCCGAAGCATGGGGTCTTTGCACCAGCATCCCGTATTCAGAGGTGAGCCCAAACTTCCATCCCTAACCCAGGGTACCAGCTGGAGCCCTGATCTCCCCCCTCAGATGGCCTCCTCCTCCCAGACCAGCATGACAGTGTGGACACCTGCCAACCCCAGCCCTTTCCTCATAGGTTCCTAGGGCCCAGCTCTCAAGTCAGACCCCAGCCTCTTGTGGCTCTGACCTTTCTCTCTCCCCATGTCTCCCCAGGATTGGTGGATCCAGTGATCCCCCTGGGGACAGTGCTGGAGCCAAAAAAGTACATCAAGTGACAAGTGAGTTGGGGGATGATATGTGGGGAGGAGTGTAAGTTTGGGATGGAAGGAAGGGTCATGGATTCTCAAGTGCATACTGGTGACAGTCTCTGGTATTTAACTGGGGACACAGGGTCCAGGAAAATGATGAGACAAGGTCCCCAAAAGGATAGGTGCTAGAGGGTATGAGGAAGTTAGTGACAAGGCTCTTTGGGGACATGAGGTTGAGCAGATGCTGGGGACAGGGGTAGTCACTAGGGGACATGGTGGGAATTACGGACAAGAGGGCCAGATGGGTATTGGGAATGTGGGACCCAGGTGGGAACTGGAGACATAGGGAGGTATTAATGACAAGGAGTCTGGATGTACTGAGGACACACGTGGTCTGTCACCCCCTAATTTTACACCTTGCCCTCCTCTTCAGTGACGCAGCCCAAACGCACCTTCAGCACAGTCCGGACCCCAAAGGATATTGCATCAGAGAACTCCATTTCCAGGTGTGTAGCCAACCCCAGTCCCCTCTCCCATGGGACATTCAGGGAGAGGGATCCACAAGGCAGTTGAACCTAGAGGTCTGGAGCTCTGGTCAGGGCTGGAATGAGAGGTTAGGAAAACTTGTGACTTGTAAGCATATGCAGGAACAGTCTTTAGGGTGTAGGGCCCCACACTGAATTCTAGTGACTTCCACTTTCAAGGGGGCCGGTAAAGGAAGTGGAACACTCTCCATTCCACATGAGCCTCAGAACAACAGCCAGAGGTCGGGTGTGGTGGCTCACGCCTGTAATCCCAGCACTTCCAGAGGTTGAGGCGGGTGGATCACCTGAGGTCAGGAGTTCAAGGCCAGCCTGGCCAACTTGGTGAAACCCTGTCTCTACTGACAACACAAAAATTAGCCAGACACGATGTCATACAACTGTAGTCCCAGCTACTTGGAAGACTGAGGCAGGAGAACTGCTTGAACCTGGAAGGCAGAGGTTGCAGCGAGCCAGGATTGTGCCATGACATGCCAGCCTGGGCAACAGAGGGAGACTCCACCTCAGAAAACACACACACACACACACACACACACACACACACACACACACACACACCACAGCCAGAGAGGTAGAGGCGGAATCCAGAAAAGCCTGATGGCAAACGCTTGGGGAAAGGCTGGCAGTGATGGGTGGAGATGTCCCTGCTGCCTGCCTCAGGACGTGACCCCGTCGTCCTCCTTTCCAGGTTGCTGTTCTGCTGCTGGTTCCCCTGGATGCTGAGGGCGGAGATGCAGTCTTAGAGGCCCTGGACACCCGACAAAGAGACAGAGTCCCCACTAGCATCTCCTGATACCCGAGGAGCCCTGAGTCACCCTGAGATAGAGATTCCCAGTAACTCATCCAGAGTAGAGACCCCTGTTAGCCAGCCCTCGATCACTGAGGTCCCATTATTAACAGATGCCCCCATAATAACCCCCAAATGCAGACCCCGTGTCACCCAGAAAGATTCCCTGAGTAGCACCTTCAGGCTAGTCCCTATCCCTAACCCCTCAGAGCAGATTCCCAAATTAACAGATTTCCACATCACCCCAAATGATGGTGACCCTCTCGACATAATATACCACAACAGTACATTCTCGAATCACCCAGCCCTGGATCAGAAACCTCCCATTAACAAACACTCCCCCTAGGTCCTCTTGAAATAAACATAGGTCATACCCCCAGAGCAAAAGAGTAACAGACTTTCATGTCATTGTTCCCCACTTAACATTAGTCCCCTCAAGATGTCGTGACCCCAGGGTCACTGTGAAGCCCTTACACTCCAGCCCCTCAATCAGAGACTTCCTTCATTAACAAAGACCCTTGTTCTTACCCTCAAAAAGAAACCCACCATAACCAGCCCACTGTCACCCCTAATTTACAGACACCAAAACAGTCCTGGAAGTGCTAATTACAGGACCCCCAAGTCTTCCTACTCTCTGCACCCTTAAGAAACCCCCAGTGCCTTGTATGACGCCCACCCGACATGGCCCACATCTCCTGTGCTGGCCAGACTCCCAGAAAATTCTCTATTTTTTAAGTAATGACTTCCCCCTTTGGGGGACCCCCAAATTTGGAGGCCCCATTCTAGGACTCTGGGGATCCTAGATCCTAGAGTACACATGTCCCAAACTCCCCTGTGCCCTCAAGTCCTACAGCCCCTAGAAAACCCCAATGCCCTAACTCCTAGGACCCCCAAATCATGGAATCCCCAAATCCCCAGGGAATCCCAAATTTGAAAATCCAATCCCAAGCCCTCAGGAAACCCAATCATGAGGTCCTTGTGCCTGGAATAGAGGAGACTGCAGTCAGGATATCCATTCCAGGCTCCCAGGTACCTCAAGCCCTATTCACAGGCACCTGGAAAACCCCATACAGGAATTCCCATCGCTGGAAACTGGAGAACTTCAATGCCCTGAGTCCACGGATCTCAAGATACCAAATTCCAAGAGCCCCAGCCCCAAGGGAATCCCAAATCCTAAAGCTTTTATCTCTGATATATTGAAGGCCCCAAGGCCCTGAGGGGATCCCAAATCCTGGAACCCCGATTTCAGTCTACATTCTGGTCACTGGCCTCAAAGGACCCCACAGCACCTGGGCCAGACCAACAGCCTGAGGGAGAACCTGAAGGCCCAGGGAGTCCAGGGCGGACCTGGGGCCCCGACCACCAAGGACAGCTCACGACTGCCCCTTCACTGCATGACCCCAAACTCAGCATGACTCCTGTCCTCTTCAATAAAGACGTTTCTATGGCCTCTCTGTGTGGGGTCATTGCTTGGGGGTTTCGGCCCTGCCTCTGTGCCCTTGCTGGGAGAAGACAGGAAAGGAAGTGGATCCTTCAATCCCGCCTCCCTGAAGTGTGGGCATGGGGTGGCGGTGGCCGCGGGAAGTCCTTCTAACAGCCTCTTCTGTCTTACCGAGGCTGTCCCGGCTGCCGTCCTGGTCCCACCCATCAGGGTCGACTCCGCAGTTGGCGGGATCGGTTCCTAAGTTCTGATTGGCCAGTGCCAGACGACGATGCTCCGCCCACGCCCTCCTGCCAATGGCTAAGAGGCCAGGAGCCAGGAGGCGCGGCCTATCCCTGGGCGAGGATGAAGGGGCAGGCGAATACGGAGTGAGAGCGCCGATTGGGTGGAAGGCGGGCCCTTGAGGCCTCTGGGAGCTTCTATTGGCCTGCGAATTCTGCGTCTGTAATGTGGGACGGAAATGGCTGGGAGGGGGATGGGGATTTTGAATTTGGAAATTGGAGGGGACACTGGTGGACGGTCAGTTTTAGGGGGTGCTGGGGGTAGAGATGGGTATCAAGAAGGCTGGAAGTGGAGATCTGGGAGAGCCCAGAGTAGGAGTCTGAGGAGGCTCAGAGCTTAGAGTCCTAAAAGGCTCGGAGTCGGGGGTCTGAAGGGTTCAGGGAAGGAAAAAGGCTTGGGAGTCAGGCTCAGAGCTAAAGATCCCAGGGTGCTGGAGTGAAGGGGCTCTCAGGAAGGGAAATCCGAGGGGCGTTCAAATGGGGAGATCCGAGAAGGCTGAAGGTGGACATGTCTGAGGAGGCTCAGATTAGGATCACAGAGGTTCACAGAATGGGGTTCCGTGGGGCGGGGGGCGCTGAGCGTTGATAGCCGGGCTCATGGTTGCAGGTCTGAAGTGGGGTCTCAAGGTGTTTAAATGGGTTCTGGGGTGCAGTGGGGGCTATATGTGGAGCTTTTGAGAAAGGCTCCCTGTGTGTGAGGCCAGAGAATGTTTTCCGTGGGAGGATTCAGAGGGCATATGCATTGTTTGATGGGCCCTTAGCGGACAGAGTAATGGGGGAATATTCTTGGGGCTCATTGTGTCCGGGCATGGAGCCTAGGGCTCTCTATGTGGCTTGTAAGATGCTGAAGACTCAGCTTTTAGAGGCCAAATGAGTTTCAAATGGGAGCTGAAGTGAGGCCTGGTCTGTCTGTGATGGGGTGGAAGGCTGCATCGTGATGTTAGGGTGGGAGGCTTAGTGACTTCAGCATGTGTTCTCTCTCCCTACAGGATTGGGTGCAAGGAGTTGGTGTTGATGGAGGAGCAGGACGCCAGAGTCCCAGCCCTGGAACCGTTCAGAGTGGAACAGGTTGTCAGAACTCGGGGTGCAGAGGGTGAAGGAGGCAGGCTGACTCCTGAGTTCCTGGGTTGGGAGTGCCCCCTCCCTCCAAATTCATTCTAACTGTCAGAGGCTATCTCGGAATGGCACTGGTCCCTTGACTTCAGACCCTGACCTGTCTGAGGACATCCTGGGCCTGTCTCCAGGGGTAGGGGTTGTTCTGTGAAGATACGGCCTCTGTGTGGGTTGAAGAGCTGTATCTTCAGGGGGTCTCTTTATCCTAGGCACCACCTGTAATCTACTATGTCCCTGACTTCATCTCCAAAGAAGAGGAGGAGTATTTGCTTCGACAGGTGACGTCAGTGCCCTTCTGGTCTGTTTTCCCACTCTTCCCATACCCCTCCCCAGTGCCTTTCCTCTGTATGAGAGCCCCAAAGGCTGCAGTAAAGACCCTGGCAAAAGGAAGAATGCCATATAGCACCCATCCTTCACCCTCCCTGTTCCTTTCTCAGCACCTTTGAGGGCCTGTCAGAAAGAGATTTTTTTTCAGCCAGGCATGGTGGTGCATGCCTGTAGTCCTAGCTGTTCGGGAAGCTGAGACAGGAGGATCACTTGAGCCCAGGAGTTGAAGGCTACAGTGATCACACCACTGCATTCTAACTTGAGCAACAGAGTAAGACCATCTCTAAAAAATAAAAATTTAAAAAAGCGATATTTCTGGCCAGGTGCGGTGGCTCACACCTGTGATCCTAGTACTTTGGAAGGCCAAGGCGGGCAGATCACTTGAGGTCAGGAGTTCAAGACCAGCCTGACCAACATAGTGAAAGCCTATCGCCACTAAAAATACAAAAATTAACCGGGTGTGGTGGCAGGCACCTGTAATCCCAGCTACTTGGGAGGCTGAGGCAGAAGAATCACTTGAACCCAGGAGGCGGAGGTTTCAGTGAGCCGAATTGCACCATTGCACTCTAGCCTGGACAATAAGAACAAAACTTTGTCTCAAAAAAAAAAAAAAAAAAAAAAAAAAAAAAAAAAAAAAAAAGGCCAGGTGCAGTGGCTCACACCTGTAATCCCAGCACTTTGGGAGGCTGAGACGGGCAGATCACCCGAGGTCAGGAGTTCAAGACCAGCCTGGTCAACATAGTGAAACCCCATCTCTATTAGAAAAAAGAGAGAGAGAGGTTTCTCTAGGAGGCTTTGGAGAAACCAAACTGATTCTTAGCAAGTGGTTTTTATGAAGTTTAGACTCCCTGTACTGAGATAGCCCAGTCCAGCCTTCAAAATAAGAATGTTATTGAGATCATATTCCTTGTCCAGGAATAGACCAGTGCATCCCATCCCAGAGTCTCAGGAACGAGGAAGTTACAGAGCTCATACTTCCTTTACTGAGATAGCCCAATCCCGCTAGCTTAGAGAATAGGGGGTTATAAACATAGGCTGAGATAGCCCAGTTCAGATCATTGAGACTGGGGAGTAAAGAATTTAGTACTCAGATTTCTGTGCTGAGATAGCCCAGTAAACTCTTGCCTGTGCTAAAATAGCTCAGCATAGACCCAGAGCCTTAGGAATTAGGTTACCAAGCACAGACTATGCTGAGATGGCCCAGTCTATATTCTATTCTTAAGGTTTGTGGAAAGAAGAATTCACAAAGCTCAGAGTCCCTGCATGGGGACAGCCCTTTGCAGCCCCAGAGCCTAAGTTACAGAGTACAGGTATTCCCTGTGTTGGAGTAACTCACTGAGCTTGAGTCCAGGAAAAAAACTAGCTACAGGACTTTTTTTTTTGCTGATGTAGCCCATTCGAGACCTTTGGGTTCTTGTGACTGAAAAATCTACATTTAAAAAAAAATTTCCTTCAGCAAGGCAATTTACTTCTACGGAAGGGTGCAGCTCACAGATGGAACAATGGCAAGCACACACCTGGACAAGGGAGGGGAAAGAGTACTTATTCCTTATGGAGGTCACTCCTACTGCTGTGTCGTTCACCTACTGGCTCGTGTTAGACTGCACAGTCTAGTCTAATTCTGATTGGCTATTTTAACAGAGTGGATAGTTTGGCAGGAAGGATGGTTATGGGCAGGTCAGAGCAGGTGACTAGAGCAGGTGACCAGGATGAGTCAGGACAGAGCAGGGGACCTGGGATGGGGGAGGGAAACAGACGTGAACTACTGATTAGAACTGGTGGAAAAGGTTGTTTACTGAAACTACAAGGAAGTTAACTTTAAAATGGAGAATTAAAGAATAAGAGCTGAACATACGACATACTGATTCTCTGAAGAGAAACTTGGGGTTTACTGTATCTCAGAATCCCTCATCCTGAATTTTTACACTTTTTTTTTTCTCTTCAAACTTCCTTAACATGTCTTGGCTTAATTGTTCTGCTATCCCTTTGAGCACATCCATAGTGTAATTAATAAACCGCTGCTGATCATAGTAGATATAATTTATTTAATTTACATGATTAATAATTGTCACCTGTGAAAATATTGACTGAAATCCTGCAGCTATTTGGTCTTGGGTTTTAAATTTACTTGGTAACTCCAATAGTGTTTATATAAATATGAGGGTTAAAGGACCCATGTAAGGCACTTCTTTTTACAAAAATCTACATATTATAGGCTAACGCCCATAATCCCAGCACTTTGGGAGGCTGAGGCCGTCGGATCACCTGACGTCAGGAGTTCAAGACCAGCCTGACCATCATGGTGAAACCCTGTCTCTACGAAAAACACAAAAATTAGCAGGGCATGGTGGTGAGTGCCTGTAATTCTAGCTACTTGGGAGGCTGAGGCAGGAGGACTGCTTGGACCCCAGAGGCGGAGGTTGCAGCGAGCCAAGATTGCACCATTGTACTACAGCCTGGAGCACAAGAGTGAGGCCGAGTCTTAAAAAAAAAAAAAAAAAAAAAAAGGCAAAAATCTACGTACTGGAGAATTCCTGGGCTGAAATAGCCCAGTTCAGCTCCATAACCATGAAGGGAATGCGTAGATTATCAATTAGAGCATAGATTTGTTGAACTGAGATACTCCATTCGAGACCATTAGGATCTTGGCAGTGGAAGATTTTCAAAGTACTTTCTTTGCTGTGCTGAGATAGCCTAGCTTTGCATAGTCCCTCCCCCAGGCAATAGAAACAAGGAAGTTGCAGAACTCAAATTGTCCTCAGAAAGCCCAGGAATCAGGATTTTTTTTTTTTTTTGAGACAGTCTCACTTTGTCACCCAGGCTGGAGTACAGTGGTGCGATCGCAGCTCACTGCAGCCTCCACCTCCTGGGTTCAAGCGATTCTGGTGTCTCAGTCTCCCCAGTAGCTTGGATTGCAGGCATGTACCACCACATGGCTAATTTTTGTTTTTATTTTTTGAAATGGAGTCTCAGTCTGTTATCCAGGCTGGAGTACAGTGGCACGATCTCGGCTTACTGCAACCACTGCCTCCCAGGTTCAAGCAATTCTTCTGCCTCAGCTTCCCAAGTAGCTGGGATCACAGGTGTACACCACCATGCCCAGCTAAGTTTTGTATTTTTAGTAGAGACGAGTTTCCCCATGTTGGCCAGACAGGTCTCAAACTCCTGACCTCAAGTGATCTGCCTCAGCCTCCCACAGTGCTGGGATTACAGGCGTGAGCCACTGGGCGTGGAATCAGGAAATTAGAAAGCTGACTATGCTGGGCTGAAAGAGTCCTGTCCAGCCCCAGAACTCTTAGACCATGGTTGTGCAGCCCTGATTCTTAAATCCTGGTAGACATGGGTGGGCTTTGGGGCCGAAAGTGTTCCCAGGAAAGAAAGCAAACCACAAAATCCTAGGAACCCACTGCCCCAGGGAATGGTCCCACAGACACTGAGATGACCCATTTCTACCCCAGAGGTAAAGGCCCTTATGTTGGCCTGGGTGGGAGAAACTTAGAGGGGTGATCCTGAGAAAGGAGTGACCCCTTTTCCACCTCCTAGGTTTTTAATGCCCCAAAGCCAAAGTGGACCCAGCTCTCTGGGAGAAAGTTACAGAACTGGGGTAAGTGTCCCTGGCTGGGCATGAGTGATTCTGGGATGTAGGCGGGGGCAAGGGACTCAGGTCCAATACCCTCAAGACATCAGAGGGTTCCTGATGGCTCAAGGGGCCCCAAGAGCCAGGAGGATTCCGAAGGGATCAGTGGAGGTCCTGAGGGGTTTGGGAGATCCTGATGAGTTGGGAGTATCTGAAAGGGGCCTGTGGTCTGGAGAAGTTAGGAAACCTCTGAAGGGCCCAGTGGCTATCTCCAAAGGGTGAGGGGTCCCTGAGGGTATCAGGGTGCTTCCAGCCACTGTGGAATCCCTAATGAGGTATCTGTGTGCTATGGGGAGCCCTCTCCATTGCCTTCTCCAGGTGGGCTTCCCCATCCCCGGGGAATGGTTCCTGAGCGGCTGCCTCCATGGCTCCAGCGCTACGTGGACAAAGTATCCGACCTCAGCCTCTTTGGAGGCTTCCCAGCTAACCATGTACTTGTGAACCAGTATCTACCTGGGGAGGGCATCATGGTAACCACACACACTCGGCCCATGTCCTCCCACCCAGATTTCTAAGCCATCCTGGGGCAGGGGACCCTGTACCCACCCTCACTCATTAGGCAGCCACATCCCCCAGGTAGGCATTCACCTCCCTGTCCCTGGGTTGGGAGCCCCCTATTGACCTAGAGGGTGGGGGGTGTGGACTCCTGCCCTGCCCAGCCCTGGTGCCCACTCCCCAGCCCCACGAGGATGGACCACTGTACTACCCGACTGTCAGCACCATCAGCCTTGGTTCCCACACCATGCTGGACTTCTACGAGCCGCGGCGGCCGGAGGATGATGACCCTACAGAACAGGTGGGCCCCCAGACACTGCCCCAAGCTCTTGCAGACACTTCAACCTCACACATCCTCCAAGATGACCTGGTGCCATGTGCCTTTGGGATACTCCTGGCACTCTTCCAGATACCTTCCCTTGTCCCCTCATGGAGTGTACCCACTTTGTCCCAGATGCCCAGCCCATCTGCCTACAGGGTGCCCTACACACCATGATTTCCACAGGCTCTCCAATGCCTCAACCTGCTGGTCAGATGCCCCTGACTCCCCAGCAGACACTAATATCCTCAGATACCCCACCGCCATTTACTCAGCGGGGCCTCACGTCCTCCCAGATGCCCCATCTGCCCCTGCTCAGGGTGCCCTAGACATCCTGCTACTCTAGGAATGTGATTTGGGGTGCAGGACACCCCCAGATTCTCCTTGGCCCCTTGACAGGATTTCTCTGAGTGATGCATTTCCAGCACCCTAGTGTTCACAGAAACGCCCCTGAACACCCTGACCCACTCCTCTTTGGGGCTTGCCCTGGAGCCCTGCGTGCTCCTGGATGCTCTGACACCCTCTCAGCTGTGCGGTTGTCCTCTAATGTCCTGATGTCTTTGGGGACCCCCACTGCCTCTAACCTCTGCCTCACTGTTCTCACCTGGTCCTGGCTTCAGCCATGCTCTCTCAGCCCAGCTCTGTCTGCATTTCCTGGGGACTGCCCATCCCTGGTTCCCAGCCCCTTGGAGATCCCAGGGGCGCTGACCCTCTGACGCCCCTATCTGCCGCCTAGATCCTGCCCCCTCTCGAGGGACTGCAGAGCCCTCGCCCTCCCTTCCCAGCAGCCCCAGCCCAGGCCGCAGCAATTTTCACTCCTGAACCACCAGTGCCTCCATCACTGTGAGCACACTTGCTCTTCAGCCTATGCCCCTGGGGACCCGCTGCTCCCCAGAGCCTGCCAACGTCTCGCCCACCCCTTCCCCCGACTTCCTGAGCCCCGCTAACCCTCAACCCGCCCTGCAGCCCCGGGCCCCGCCCCGGCCCACCACGTCGCTGCTACTGGAACCGCGCAGCCTGCTGGTGCTCCGCGGCCCTGCCTACACGCGCCTCCTCCACGGGATCGCTGCTGCCTGCGTAGACGCGCTGGATGCCACCTCCCCACCGCCCAACGCAGCCGCCTGCCCGTCAGCGCGGCCCGGAGCCTGCCTGGTGCGCGGTACCCGGGTCTCGCTGACCATCCGCCGCGTGCCCCGCGTGTTGCGCGCCGGCCTCCTGCTGGGCAAGTGACCGCCATGGCCGGGACCCCTTGGATCCCCCGGCTCCTGCCCGCCTGGGGCTGCTGTGACTCTGCGACCTTCGAACCCTCTTGGGCAGAGGGGGGCTCCCCTGGGTTATTTATTTTCCTAATAACTTCGTGGGAGCCACAGAAGACCCTATACCAAATAAAAAAATCTTTCCTTGGTTTTAAATTTTTATTTTGGTGGGGGGGGCAGATGCTTGGGCTCCTGAGGGGCGCCGCATGTAGGGTCTTAAAGGAATGGGATAGGCCCTGGAGGTCAGATGTCTGGGTCCTCAGTGGGGCAGAATCCAAGGCTCTTGGGGAGGTGGGGGAGTGGTTCTATCTGGAACTCCCTTGGATGGCAGAGTGATGCTGGGAGGTTTAGCTACTGGCCTGCTAGGCAGTAAGGAGTTAAGTGGCTCTTCTGTCACCTGAGCCGGGCATCAAATGGCCTGGTCCAGGTTCCTCTTGGAAGGGGCGGAGCCAGGCCTGTCCTGGGCCTCTCCTGCAGCCTCAGGCCCCGGTGAATCCAGCGGAGGAGCTCTGGGATACTCTTGTCGAGGGAAGAGGTCTTACTGGCTGCGCTCACCTGACTCTGTGTCTCCAGGCCCCAGCCATGGCCCTATCCCTGCCTCTGGGCACTGGACTTGTCTCAGAGCCCCTCAGCCACCCCCCGGGAGCCCCTAGGGAGCCGGACTTTGTTGGACGCACGGTCTGCCCTGCATCCGGAGAGGAGAGCACCAGGTGGGGGCCGGGGCTTTTTGGAAGCTTGTTCCAAGAGGGTAGACGCGGGGGCAGGGACCATGCGAGGGTAAGAGGCGCCATGGCTGTGGTCACCTGGGGACATAGGAGAGGCTGCCGGGGTTTGGGTGAGGGTGGGCTGGAAAGTGAGGTGTCTTGAGACTCACCCAGTCCTGCCCCCTGCCTCCCAGCCCAGAGCAGGCCCAGACCCTGGGACAGGACGCCTTGGGCCCTCCCGAGCACTTCCAGGGTGGGCCAAGGGGTAATGAACCCGCCGCTCGCCTCCCAAGATGGTCAACACCCTCTTCCCACGAGGACCCAGCTGGGGGCAGACATTGTGAGGTGAGCTGAGGTGACCCAGACCCCTTGTGCCAGCCCCACCTTCTCTCTGTCCCCCGGAGTTCGACCTCCACACTGAGGACTGGGTGATGATTCCAGAAAGGTGTTGGGTGTCAGTAGGAGGAGGAACCCTCTGGAAAATGTTTCTTTCTCTTTTTTTGAGATAGAGTCTCACTCTGTTGCCAGGCTGGAGTGCAGTGGTGCAATCTCGGCTCACTGCAACCTCCGTCTCTCAGGTTCAAGTCATTCTCCTGCCTCAGCCTCCTGGGTAGCTGGGACTACAGGCGCAAGCCACCATGCCCAGCTAATTTTTATATTTTTAGTAAAGATGGGTTTCACCATGTTGGCCAGGATGATCTCGATCTGACCTTGTAATCTGCCAGCCTTGGTCTCCCAAAGTGCTGGGATTACAGGGGAAATGTTTACCAATCAGTAGAGAAATGTTTTTCCTTTTTCTTTTTCTTTTTTTTTTTTTTTTTTGAGACGGAGTCTCACTCTGTCACCCAGGCTGGAGTGCAGTGGTGCTATCTCAGCTCACTAACCTCCTCCTCCCAGGTCCCAGTGATTTCTCCTGTCTCAGCCTCCCAAGCAGCTGGGATTACAGGCGCATGCCACCACACATGGCTAATTTTTGTATTTTTAGTAGAGATGGGATCTCACCACGTTAGCCAGGCTCGTCTTGAACTCCCTGGTGATCCACCCGCCTCAGCCTCCCAAAGTGCTGGGATTACAGTCATGAGCCACCATGCCCAGCTGTATTTCTTTTTTATTACAAAAAAAGAGAGAAAGAGATGAAGTTTCACTATGTTGTCCAGGCTGGTCTTGAATTCCTGGGCTCAAGCCATCTTCTGGCCTCCTAAAGTTCTGGGATTACATGTGTGAGCCACCGCACCTGGCTGAGAAGCATATCATCAGAGCTCCCGGTGTAGTCCCATTCTTCTCAGGGGGTACCCAGCCCCATTACCCCCTTCCTGCCCTGAGCTCCCACATTGGGCCTCACACATCCAAGTTTCCAGGAGCTTTGAAAACCTGGAAGGCCCCCCCAGTGGGAGCAACCCTGGTGCAGACAGACCTGGAGATGGACTCTGCTGCAGAGAAGTTTCCAGAAGCTTACAGAAGAGGGGTGAGGAAGGGGGCAGGGGTGATATCTCGATTGGCCCACTGGCCCTGACTTGGATCCTATGTTTCCCCAGCACCCTGCTTCTGGCCTGGAGGTACTGGAGGCTGAGCAGGACAACCTATACCTGTCCCTGCTGGGGCTGGGCCTCTGGCTGCAGGACCTGGATCGAGGCCCAGGGCGCTGGGCGTTGGCCCAGAGCGGGATGGTGCAGCTGCGGGTAGGCAGGGGAGGCCAGGATGTGGGGGTGGGTAGGGCCCCAGCTGTGAGTGACAGCCAGCTTTCTGGGGTGGGAAATGGGGTGTCTGTTCCAGGCCTGTGGATGGGAAATGGGGGAGGGGGTAACTCCAGGTTGTGGGTTCCTGGTGTCCCTGGAGTGCATGTGGAGTGATGTCCAACCATGGGTCCCCAGGCCCTCCAGGCGGACCTACGAGGGGCAGCTGAGCGTGTGGAGGCGCTGATAACGTTTGGTGAGGGGCTGGCACAGCGGAGTGAGCCGAGGGCCTGGGCAGCCCTGGAGCAGATCCTGCGGGCCCTGGGAGCTCACCGAGACACCATCTTCCGGAGGCTCTGGCAGCTGCAGGCCCAGCTGGTCAGCTACAGCCTGGTAGGGCCCATTCCGATACCCCCCACCCAACACAGGCCCCAACCTCACAGCCCCCATGACCTCTGTCCTCTGACCCAGGTGTTCGAGGAGGCCAACACACTGGACCAGGACTTGGAGATCGAGGGAGACTCGGACTGGCCAGGACCTGGTGGGGTGTGGGGGCCCTGGGCACCCAGTAGCCTTCCCACTTCCGCAGAATTGGAGTGGGATCCGGCGGGGGACATTGGGGGCCTTGGGCCCTCAGGACAAAAGACTGCCCGGATACTAGGAGTGCCCTGTGAGCTGTGTGGCCACAGAGGCCCCCAGGGCAGGGGACAAGGCCTTAAGGTGAGAGCAGACCCCCTGGAGGGACCTCATGCCAGGCACCCTGAGGACATGTCTGCGTACCTTATAGCGGGTCCTTCCCTTGCAAGGAGGTGTCAGTGGCTCTGTCTCTTAGTGTCTCCTTCTATCTCACTGTTTCTCACTCTCCTGTCTGTCTCTGTCTACATCCTCAAGCTCCATCTCAAATTCACTCCCATCCCGAAGCCCCCAGATGATGCCCCGCTCACTTCCTGACTGTCCCAGTCTCTCCACCTCTTCAGAGAGGCCTGCCCTCACCTCCAAACATGAGCACTCTGATCTTCTTTATTCCCTAACAGCACTCACCACAGCTTGACTTTGTACATTTACTTAGTTTATTTTATTTTTTTGAGACGGAGTTTTGCTCTTGTTACCCAGGCTGGAGTGCAATGGCGCGATCTCGGCTCACCGCAACCTCCGCCTCCTGGGTTCAGGCAATTCTCCTGCCTCAGCCTCCTGAGTAGCTGGGATTACAGGCATGCGCCACCATGCCCAGCTGATTTTTTGTATTTTTAGTAGAGACGGGGTTTCACCATGTTGACCAGGATGGTCTCTATCTCTTGACCTCGTGATCCACCCGCCTCTGCCTCCCAAAGTGCTGGGATTACAGGCGTGAGCCACCACGCCCGGCTACTTATTTTATTTTTTTGAGACAAAGTCTTACTCTGTCGCCCAGGCTGGAGTGCAGTGGTGTGCTCTCTGCTCACTGCAACCTCCACCTCCCAGGTTCAAGCAAATCTCCTGCCTCAGCCTCCGAAGTAGCTGGGATTACAGGTGTGTACCACCAGGCCCAGCTAATTTTTGTATTTTTAGTAGAGACAGGGTTTTACCATGTTGGCCAGGTTGGTCTCAAACTCCTGACCCCAAGTGACACGCCCACCTTGGCCTCCCAAAGTGCTGGGATTACAGGCATGAGCCACCACACTGGGCCTCATTTACTTATTAATTTATGGTCTGTCTCTCTCCTGTCAAATGTAAGCTCCCTGGAGGCCAGGTATTTGCCTATTTCCATCCCCATTGTGTCCCCAGCTCCTAGAACAGTTCCTGGCTTGTAACAGATGCTCATTACATATTTATTGAATGAATGAATAAATAATGTCTCTCCTCTCTTGGTTTCTTTGGCTCTGCCCTTGTCTGTCTGTCCCATGAGAGCTCGCTGTTCCCCCAGAATCTCATCTCTATGACACCTCCTATCCTAGCCCTCTCCCAACCACATTTCTCTTTGTTGCTGGTTCTCCAGGAACCACACACCTCTCACTACCGACAGGACATGCTGGAGTCCAGCCTCAGCCACCGGAAACACTTAGCAGGTCACCGAAGACGCTCCCTGCTCCGAAAGCCTCAGGTGAGCCGGTTCTCAACCAGGTGTAGCACTCAGGAATCTTGATGGTGAGTGACAGAAACCCAACAAGTCAAAAGTTACAAAAAAAGGGATGCTATTTTTTTTTTAAATGTAACTGAAAGGTCCAGGTGCTGTTGAATTCAGAGCTTCAAACAACACCAGGGCTCAGTCCCTCCTTTTCTTGGGCTCTAATTCCCCAAGGTGGCTTCCTTCTCAGCAAAATAGGTTCGCCAGTGGCTACACGGTCATTCCCACTGGTTTACCCAACCCAGGGCATGAAGCATGCCTCCGACCCTGCTGACAGCTGCCAAAGTCCCATGACTGACTTCCACTTTCTGGCTGGAGTCATGGGCGGCACCTTGAATAAACCAGAGTGCTCGGATTGGCCAGGTATAGGTCACACCAATCATGGAAGTGGGGAAGGCAGGTGTCAGCTTCACTTGAACCTGGTCTGGGAGTGGACGGCATGACAGCAGCCCACCTCCGACTGAGCCACTGCTATCAGAAAAAGGGGGAATGTGTTGGATGAAGGACAGATACAACCAGATATCCACTATACTTGGAGATATTCCAAGTCCATGCAGGGTCCTGGGGATGAGGAGGTACCAGAAAAGGAGAAGAAATAACACCAGCCCTATCAGTCTTACACTAGCAGAGAAAAGACCATATGAAGTGTCACTTCTGGCTGGA